CAGATGAAGAAGTTTCTTCCCTCAAACCAATTTGGTACTTACCGCATCATGCTGTTTTGCATCCAAGGAAACCTAATGAGCCAAAGGTGGTGTTTAATTGCGCCTGCAAGTCTGAAGGCGTCTCCCTGAACAATCAGCTACTGCAGGGACCAGAGAACACAAGTTCGTTGATAGGAGTGATTCTCAGATTCAGAGTTAACGGAGTGGCCGTAGCAGCTGATATCAAACGCATGTTCCATCAGGTGTTCGTGTCCCCGGAGGGCAGAGGTGCTCTGTGCTATCTCTGGTGGCCAGGTGGAGATTTTACAAAGGACCCGAAAACCTTCCAGATGTTGGTTCATATCTTTGGAGCCACTTCGTCGCCCCGTGTTTGCGGTTACACATTAAGGAGAACAGCTTTAGACAACAGCAAAACTTTGTCCTCGGAGACCATTGGCGCAATCCTGAGAGACTTTTATGTTGATGATCTGCTCAAGTCCTTCAAAACCAGTGGTGATGCAGTACAGATTACAAAGGAGCTTCAAGAGCTACTTGCAAAAGGAGGATTTCAGTTGACCAAGGTGATGTCCAACGAGCGAGAAGTCCTAAACGCTTTCCCACCCGAGCATCATGCACCAGCCGTCAAGAATTTGGATCTCAAGCTAAACAGCCTGCCAATGGATGCATCCCTAGGGATTCATTGGGATGTGGAGGTGGACACTTTAAACTTGGTTGTTTGCGACAAACCTCAGCCAGAGACCCGGAAAGGCATTCTGTCCTCTATTGCCATGATATATGATCCCCTGGGTATGGCTGGTCCCATACTTCTGCCTGGTAGGGAGATAAACCAAGAGCTATGTAGAATGAAATATGGATGGAATGACAAGCTCCCAGATGAGTTGGTGGTGAAGTGGAGGAATTGGAAGAGTGGACTCGCAAGCCTTACAGGATACAGCATCCCCCGGTCCCTAACTCGTGGAGGCTTTGGAGAAGTAGAGAGAGCGGAGCTCCATCACTTCGCAGACGCTTCGGAAGAACATGGATATGGAACAGTATCTTACCTGCGCTTCATTAACAGAGAAGGAAACATACACAATAGTTTTGTGATGGGCAAATCACGGGTGAGGCCTCTAAGGAGTGGCATCAGTGTTCCAAAGATGGAGTTGACTGCTACAACCTTGTTGATTAAGATGAACAAGCTCATCACGAAGGAGCTCGAAGGTCGCATTGAGATTCACAGCTTCACCTTCTGGACTGACTCTATGATCGTCTTGAGGTACATATTCAATGAAACAAGAAGATTTGTCTCCTTTGTTGCTAATCGTGTTGCTGTGATCAGGGAAGGATCAAGGCCCTCGCAATGGCGTCACGTCAGGTCAGAGTCTAACCCCGCTGATTATGCATCGAGAGGAATAAAGGCCTTCGAAACTGAGAAGTTGGAGATGTGGAAACATGGCCCAGGTTTCCTGTGGAAAGGCTCGCACGAGTGGCCACAGCAACCCACTGACCTCCATGAAGAACTCTCAGCTTACGATGAGGGAGTCAAGAAGGAAAGGGTCACTGTTACTGCGTGCGTTGAGAAAGAAGATTTCTGGGATGTTTTATTTGAAAGATGCGCCATGTGGGAGAAGTTAAGAAGAGCAGTGGCCTGGCTAATTCGAGCAGCGCACATGCTGATGCGACTGCTAACACGACCACCAGCGTCGCCTGCCTCATTGGTGAAACTGGAGGAGAAGACATCATACCTTTCATTGTCAGAATTAGAAGAAGCAGAGAGAAGAATCGTGAAGAATGTTCAAAATCAGGCCTTTCCTGCAGAGTTGTCCAGGCCAGATGGAAGTAAAGGCCCTCTTGCCAAGTTGAAGCCATTTGCGACAAATGGCGTCTCGCGAGTTGGAGGAAGACTCAATCGTGCAGACCTGGACTATGATGCTAAGCACCCGATTATATTGCCTGGGAAACATCGTGTTACAGAAATGATCATCTTCCATTACCACCTTGCGAACGGTCATGTGGGTCCTCACCAACTACTAGCAGAGACGAGGCAGCGCTTCTGGATAGTGAACGGCATTTCATCCATCAGAGGTGTCTTACGGCGATGCCATTAATGTAAACGCCAGAATGCCAGAGTTGGAGAACAGATTACGGCACCTCTTCCGGCAGTAAGAGTTTCGTCAGAGAGCCACCAATTGATCTGCCCATTTGCTGCCGTGGGTGTAGATTATTTTGGACCGCTCTACGTTCACACTGGACCCCTTACAAGATCAACAAGAAAGAATCCTAAGCTCCACAAGCGCTATGGTTGTATTTTCACCTGCCTCAGGTACAGAGCTGTCCACATCGAGATCGCAAGTGACCTGTCAACAGACAGTTTTATTAATGCAGTCACAAGATTTATTGCGAGACGAGGTCCTCCCAGAATGATCTACAGTGACAATGGCTCCAACTTTATAGGAGCAGAGACTGACGTTGTGAAAGCATTAAAGACTTGGGACCAAGGAAGAGTTGGAAGCGAGCTGCTTCGAAAGAATATTCAGTGGTATTTTAATCCACCTCTAGCTAGCCACCTGGGAGGTGTTTGGGAGCGGCTGATTTGCTCTGCCCGAAGAATCCTCCATGCCATGATAGGTGAACAGCTTGTTAACGAGGAGACCTTGACGACCTTCCTGGTAGAAGTAGAAAAGATCCTTAACAGCAGACCAATCACCCGAGTGTCAAGTGACCCCAACGATTTGGAAGCCTTGACCCCTAACCACATTCTGCTATTACGTCAGAATCCGTGTTCAGCGCCTAGTTAATTAGAAGATGCTGACAAGTTCCGAGCACGATGGAAACATGTGCACGTTTTGGCCAACGAGTTTTGGGCACGCTGGGTTAAAGAGTATCTCCCCATGTTGCAGGAACGCCAGAAGTGGCTTAAGCAAAGGCCAAATTTCCGAGCCGGAGACTTGGTCATTTTGAAGGATGCGAATGTTCCTCGAGGCCAGTGGCCTAAAGCATTAGTTCAGGAAACCTTCCCCGACTCTGATGGTGTGGTACGACAAGTTCTGGTGAGAAGTGCAACTGGTGTCTTCAGAAGAGATGTTCGTAAACTCTGCCTTCTGGAAGAAGAGTTACTGAAGTCTATTGAGGAGTCCATGGAGAAGAACAAAACCTGAACTTGTGACATTAGTCATTGGACTACTAAAGTAAAGTTCTCTAGAGAACTGTGAATGTAGATTTGCCACATAGTTCCTGTTGTCATTCTAAGTGAATGCCTTAAGACTACCGGGGTAGTCTTTGGGGGGAGCGTGTAATGACTAAGATTCATTTAATCCCAGTACAGACAATTGCGGACATTTCAGTGAGTCGTTCATGACGTCACCGCTGATCGTATGTATCGTAGTCGCTACTAGGTATCAAGTTTAGGAAGAGCACATGGTTTTTCGTTAAGAAGTTAGTTTGTTTATTGTTCAATGATGTTTTTCTTGGTTTATTGTGGAACAAGGCACGAAAACCTTTTGAGTATCCATCGGTTTTTAATTAAGTTTCTCATCGTTGGTATTTTGGTCTTCTATTTTGCTTATTCAGCGGATTCATGTGTTTCCATTTCAGCGAATCGCTCGTTCGTGTAAATAAAAGTCAAGTTCAGCGTATCTCAAATATTATCCTTGTTACCGCAGTTCAGTTGCAAACATTGGTTTCCTACAATGACTATGACTTGAAACTCTTCTGAATTGATCCTTAAGGCTGCAAACACGGCTAAATAGATAATAATTAAAAGTTAGGGGAGGCAGTTGATATTTCTCTATTATTAAGAGGATCTCAGATGAAGAACTTTGGAATTTATCAATGGAAAACAAGAGGGGAAGTAAGAAATTCTGGAGCTCAAGTTACCATTCCCACCCTAAGGAAAACCCTTACATATAATCAATTTAGCAAATGTTATCAATAAAGCAATATTTTGAATATTTATAGGAATGTGTGCCACACTTCCGTCTAAATGTGTAATTTTCAAAAAGGTTCATAGTACAATGGCGGACAAATGTCCTTTGAACACCAATGTAATGCCATGAATTATCTGTGTTTTACAACTGAGTTTGAGAAAGCACTTCTATCCTTTTGAAAATGCATTGCTGTTGCCCCCTTCCCCATCCAATGCAATGTTGAACCTCAAGAGAAATTGTCTTCAACAAACATGTTCAACGTTTTGGCTGTGGGGAGGGGCTGGGCAAGTGAAATTGCATTCGCGCGCGACTGTCTGTTTAAGATGTGAAAAAGTTTCACAAGTGCAAATTTGTCCCCAAAGTTTTGTCCATGATTGTACAATGGATCATATAATTTTCCGGGTTCTCGGAAAATTTGTCCTTGTCTGTTTTGTCTTTGTATGTCAAATTTGTCTTTGTCTATTTTGCGATCAAGAAGCCAATTGTGCTTCACCCCGAGTTTTCAATCGAGTTTCTTTGATCTTCCTTTTTCCCCTACTTATAGTATTAATGAAAGGGGGGACAGGAGGGCGGGAGCCCGGGAGAATAGGGGGCGGGAGGCGGGAGAGGATAGGGCGGGAAGCGGGAGTTCTAAGAAGGAATAATTTATCAAGCGTTAAAATACTTTCAAAAACAAGAACCCAAGATGTTTTTTACTTACATTTAGCTTATTTTGAGACTTCTGGACCGACGGAAAAATGAAAATTCGCTCTTGGGCTGAAAAACTGAGGCTTACTTGCGTTAAAATTGGAAACCCGGTAATTACGTCATAGGTCATGAGATGTTGTCACTTAAGCAGTCAAAAGACGTGAGCAAGAGGAGCAAGGCTAAAGAGAAAGGGAAAAACGAAAAGAAACGTTTAAGGATTGCGCAGCTAAATGACGAGGATGTGTTTTGAGTCTCCTTATTTACAGGGGACGGTAGCAAGACGGACAAAAGCGGGAGTCGGGAGATTAAGGTAAGAGAAGCGGGAGAGCAGGGTACGGAAAGCGGGAGGTTGCCCCCCCCCCCCCCCCCCCCCCCCCCCCCCC